ACGCACACGGGACAACGTACGCCTTTGAAGCGTGCACGAGTTTGTTCAGAGCCGCCTGCACGTGCCGTTCGTCCACTTCCTTGCCACACTCCTCCACGATCTCCGCCATCGTGAAAGGCCTGCAGCGTGCATAAGCGCAATGGCAACAAGGGCCACGATGTGGCGCAGAGACACATCACAAGTCAGGATGCGGCAACACCAAGCAGCAGCGACGACAGCATCAGCAGCGACATCGATTTGCGGGCACAAGCGTCCACACTCGTCAGTTCATACCCATCATACCCATCATGCGCCTCAATCACCGCTTCCACGTCCATAGTGTGTGTGTGTGTGTGTGTGTGTGTGTGTGTGTGTGTGTGTGTGTGTGTGTGTGTGTGTGTGTGTGTGTGTGTGTGTGTGTGTGTGTGTGTGTGTGTGTGTGTGTGTGTGTGTGTGTGTCCATCGACATGCGCGAACATGCACATTGCGTAGTGCATGCATGACGTGCAAGAGCGAGAAAGGGTTTTGCGGTGACGCTAATGCTTCCAGAAGGAAAGAGAACTGTCAGCTGCAGTGCACAAGCGGCGCAAACCGCACGCAGCATTGGCGCTGTTACTGGTGATGCTGCTGATCGTGCTTGTACATGCCCTCGCCAAACAAGTGTTGTGGGTGCTGGGGCGGCTGTGACGGCTGCTGAATCTGCTCGTGGAACTGCGACAATGGCTGATGATACTGCTGTTGCACGTACTCGTGCGGGTTGAAATGCGGCATTGGCGGCATTGGCGGCGGCGGGAGGTGCTGGTGGGCGTGGACGTGCGGGTGCGACGGCTGCTCGATGCCAGACATCATCATCGCAGCATTGCCGTCACCGTCGCCAGGCTGTGGCTGCTGCTGCTGCTGCTGCTGTTGTTGTTGCTCGTAGTGGTGGTGGTACTGAAACTGCTGGGGCTGCGGCTGTGCTTGAAAGAGTTGTTGGTGCTGCTCGTGTTGTGGTTGTGGCAAGTACTGCTGCTGCTGCTGCTGCTGCTGCTGCTGCTGCTGCTGCTGCTGCTGCTGTTGTTGTTGTTGCTGCTGGTGTGGAGGGTGGTGTGCAGAAGACGCCTGCGGCTGCACCTGTGCGTGTGCTTGCTGTGCGTGTGCCTGCTGTGCGTGTGCATCCTTGCTCCTCTTATGCCACTTTGGCTTGCGAGACTTCTTGCTTTCCTTGACGGCGGCAACAAGCGGCGCGAAGAACTCGTGCTCCATCGCCGCCTCCGCCGTGATGCGCGCGTCCGGGTTGTACCGCAGCAGCGCCTTGACCAGGTCCACTGCCACCGGTGCAGCCCGCGAGAGAAACGTCTCCAGGCCCACGCTTGTGGCCGGGATGTGGCGCATGGACAGGACGGGGGCAAAGTCCTTGTAGCGCTCGTACTGACGCATGTCCCACGATGGCGGTGGGGTGCCGAGCATGTCGAAGATGAGCAGCAGCTGCTCGTTGATCGAGTTGCCCTGGAACGGCGGCTGCCCAGTCAGCACCTCTGGTGAATTGGGTTGGGGAGCGGGGAAGGGGGAAGGGGAGGAGGGTTTGCGAAGAAGTGTGAGTGCGTGACGCGAGAGTGTGCGAGTTGGAGGAGAGAGCGCACGTGAGCGTGCGTGCGTGTGTGTGTGTGTGTGTGTGTGTGTGTGTGTGTGTGTGTGTGTGTGTGTGTGTGTGTGTGTGTGTGTGTGTGTGTGTGTGTGTGACGAATTTGTGAACACATACAAGGATGCACATGAGCACGCACCCGCACCCACAACAAACACATGAGCACGCACCGGCGAAGATGACGCCAGTTGACCAGAGGTCGATGCACGGCCCATAGTGCTCTGATCCGAGCAGCACGTCGGGCGCTCGGTACCACAACGTCACAACCTGCCGTTGGGTTCCAATGTTGCAAGATGCAGGCATGGTGGTGAGAACAGCAACAAAAACACCAAGTCACACTGCATACTCAATCTTGCACTGTGCGTTGTGTGTGTGTGTGTGTGTGAAAGCGTCTGTGCAGACGCCCATGTGGATACAAGCGTAAAGTACGCACATCGGCAGTGTATTTGGAGACGGGCACGCCAATGGGTCGAGCGAGGCCAAAGTCGGCGAGCTTCAGGCGGCCCTTCTGTCAGCGGAAGGAGGGAACCGGGAACATCATGTGCAGGGATATGCAGGTGTGTATGTGCACGTAAGCATATGAGGGTTTACACATGTGCGTGTAAATGTTTGTGTGCGTACGTGTGTGTACATGTGTGCGTTTACATGTGTGCGTTTACATGTATGTGTGTGTGTGTGTGTGCACTCGACACACATCCCTGCACACGCAAGGAACCAAGCGCGCCAACGGACATAGCACATGCATATGCACAGACGCGTGTGTACACTTGTAGACGTACGCACCCTGTCGAGGAGGATGTTTTGTGGCTTGAGGTCTCGGTGGAGAATGTGTTGTGAATGGATGTATGCAACAGCGCGCAGGAGCTGGAACATGATCGTCTGCAAGCGAACACGCGCGCGCATACACACACACACACATTCAGTTATGTTT